AAGATAAAGCTAAAAAACCAGCAAATTTACTGACCCTTTTTTAATGTTTTCTTTTTTGTGGTACGGGTAGATGATTTAAGTGCACATGCAAATGCCACATCTTCTTTATCCTTAGAAGATCCTGCTAAAGAAAAACCACAGAATCACTGAAGTATTTAAAAATTCATTACTTCCTATGTTTACGTACAAGTACCTAAACATGATAATAGGAAACAGAATACCACTTTCACACTCATTCTTTAGAGTCTGTATTGTGAAATAACAATAAAATATGTGATAACCAAAACTGCCACTTCCGACGCTAAAACTATCTCTCTAGCTCACAAGAAGTGATGTAGTCATTCACGGTCAGACCTGAGGAAGAGAAGCTGAAGGAGGAGCAGCCATATGCAAAGTTATTCAGCTCTCAGGTATAGGGAGAAATAAATTTTCTCAAGGAAATAAATGTTTGATTCTGAACAATGAGGCTAACAAATTTTCAGATCAGTCAAGCAGTGATCAGTTATTTTCCAAGTGGAATACAATTTCTTCATTAATTACGACTACAATATGATCTCAATATAATCTCAATTTGTCTCACATATTTTAAAGACAAATGGTAATACTCACAGATTATTTTTATTTTCATATAATAATGTGAATTAACAATTGGCAGTATTGCCAAGAAGGCATTCCCAACCTAATTTTGTAATTACTATTCACATATATACATATATAGTTTTAATCATTTTATAAGTGATAGAAAATTTAAAAATTATAATTATTTTCAGATTGGTTTGAATATTATCCCTTAAGATTTTAATTTGAAACCATTTATTCAATTTTCCTCACTTATTTAATTAACACCCATGGTAAGTAACTGCCATGAAAAATTCAAATGTAAATATCAAGCAACATATGACCTATTACTAAAAACTTCCAAGCTAAAAAGATACAAATCAATAGAGTTTTATTTTAATAATCTTTAAATGTGAATTATGGGTACAGTATTCACATACCTTGTACCCTGCTTTTAGGCTCTGATTGTACATTTTTCATTTTGCCTAAAAACAAAACGGAAATAAACATGAAAATGGCACAACAGGAGACTAGAATGTAAGACCCATTATCAAATCAAATCTATTATATATTACCTTTCACTTTCTTTGGCAATTCCTTTGTTTCAATTTCCTCTGAATCGCTGCTTTCAAAGTACTGGATGGCAGTTTTTCTTCTAAAATTATATATACACAAAACAAGGTTTTTACCAACCCAAAACTGTATATAAAAACATATGTTTAATAAATTCAACACAAAATTTTTGCCTTGCCCACTTATTTTTTGAAAAGTTTCCCAGGGAAACTTCATCTGACAAATGGAACTCAAATATGCTAAAAACATTCTACTTTCTGCTGAGAGGGGAGGATTGTTTAAACCAGGAATTTGAGACCAGCCTGGCAACAGAGAGACTCTGTCTGCAAAAAATGAAAAAAATTAGCCAGGTATGGTAAAATACACCTGTAGTCCAACTACTTGAGAAGCTGAGACAGGAGGATCACTTGAGCCTAGGAGTTCTATACTACACTAAGCTACAACTGTGTTACTGTATCCTGCCTGAAAATCTCTAAAAATAAGAAAATATTAGTCCTTTTAAAAAAACTAATTTCACTACTGAGTTCAGTTTTGATAGTTCAATTAAAACATGTATATAAAACTAGAACAAGGTGGCACCTGTGGCTCAGTGAGTAGGGCGCCGGCCCCATATACCAAGGATGGCAGTTCTAGCCGACCCAGCCAAAATGCAACAAAAAAAATATAGCCAGGTGTTGTGGTGGGTGCCTATAGTCCCAGCTACTCAGGAGGCTGAGGTAAGAGAATGGCCTAAGCCCAAGAGCTGGAGATTGCTGTGAGTTGTAACACAACGACACTGTACCGAGGGCGACAAAGTGAGACTTTGTCTCTAAAAAATAAAACTAGAACAAAAAATGAACCGGGTCTTATGAAAGATACTTCCAAAATTTCAGAAAATATAATGAAATAAGCAGCTAGAAGGCAAAAATACCATAATTGACAATGGAAAATTACATAAATTTTGTGTATAAACAAGCATAACACAGCAGTTAAGTGGCTAAGAACAATTGATTCCAAAGTCAGACTACCTAGATTTAAATTTCCATTCCACCACTAATCTGCTAAGTCAGTCAACTAAAAAGCTTCAATGCCTCCATTTCCTCACTTGGAAAATGGGGGGGAAAGCACAACACACTTCACAAGACAAATGTTACTACATGCAAAGCCTCTACAATAGTCCCTATTACACAGTAAGCACATCCATACTAGCTATAATATGTGTGTTGGTTGTAATTAAGTCTTTCCCATGTCCTCGTCATTATTTTCACGTCTTTTAATCTGATCTGGTCAAACTAATGGTGTTCCATTACCCAGACTATGGTCAGTTCAGGGTTGTAAAATTTGAGATTCAGGTAAGAAGGAAACTGATGAGTGCTGGGCTTGTGCTCGTTCAAATGGATATTAATGATAAAACAATTATCAAAGCCATAGTTCTAAGATCTTTGTTAAATACTAGCTGAGGCTCAGATTTCTCAAAATCTGAGTAGATATTGGTGGCAGATAAAACCTCAAAATCCCAACTTTTAGACCCACTTGATAAGGTAAATTAAATTTATAAAGTTAACAGATTCAAAACAAGATCAGAGGAGAATTATGTATTTTATTCAAATTCTTGCTCTAATCTACTTATAAATAATTTTTCATGTCTTATTTCTACTACAAGTGAGAAAGAACTGAAATAAGCAAAGAACACTTTTGTCAAGCCATCCAGTAAAATATTCTTCAGTTTTCAGCCCCCTTAATCGATAAAGAAAACTTCTAAAATCTCAACAAAACAAAAATCTCAGGCATTAGATTATAATTCTAGGTAAAAAAAATAGGAAAGAAGTGGTAGAAAGATGAATTATTATTAAAAATTATCAACTTCTTCTGAAGATCAACATTATTTTTTTTCACCTTTTATAAAATGAAC